GGAGGGAGGGGGTGTTTCTGTCCTTTAGCATTTTTTTTTCCAGAATGAATTTTCCAACCAGAACAATAAAGAATCAAATGTAGAACGTTAGTTTTCATTTTCAATACAAAAAGAAGTTATTTTAAAAAATACTCTATACACAAATCACCTATACTCTTACATAACCCATCTTTTCCCATCCATTTTAGGACAAAATCTATTTTCCCCTATTTAGACACAAAGGAGAGGCCAGGGTAAAGGGCAGAAAAGGCAGAGGGGGAGAAGTGAAAAAAATCTTAATTTTAAATAAAGGGTTGTGTTTCCTCCCCAGGACTACCTGATAGAGAGCAACTAAAGCTTCAGACCAATGCAGTCGATATTAACCAGGCAGAAGGAACAAGCTAAAATACTGTTCTTTGCCTAAAAACTGGGATTCTTTTGAAGCAAACCAAGTGCTAAAAACAAGCTCTCTTTTGAAAAGAGAGGAGGAGAAGGAGAAGGAGAAGATCAGAGTTACTGCTTTCTCGCTTGTTTGGCAAAAGAGTCTGTTCTTTATGGCTTGCTCTCCTTTTTCCCAGGGAAACTCGTACACACGCGCGCTCGCGCGCACACACACTTCTCGCCCCAGGAAATATGGTTTTCAATCAACTCTCCACAGCACCACCTCATAAAAAAGCAGTGAAGGAGTTTAGGTGGAATTGGGTTATATTCTCCTCGCAATTACAAACGATCAATACCGAGGCAGGAGAGAAAGCAAGCAAGCGCTGGGCGGCAGAATCAGGAGAATCCAAGAAAGGTACAGTACAGTATTCGGTTAGGTAGGGGCTTAAAAAGAACTTGCTTCAAGGTGAAAAAGACACCCTACGATAAACAGGACGGAAAGACAACAAATTCGACAGCGGAGGCGGCCTGGGTGACAAATGCAGGCAAGGAAAGGTACAAAACCTTGCAACAGGTGATTGCCACTCCGCAAAGCACACAAAGAAAACGAGCACGCAGTGCCGGCATCGCTGCCAGACTCGGCCGGGTGGGAGAAGAGGGCGCAAAATGAAGGGAGTCCCGCCACGGCCAAAAGGATTCACCCAGGCTGGGACGAGACGGAAGTTGCTCCAAATGCAACGGGCGCGGCACAGCGTTGTGCCCTAACCCGACACCCGCCCTTCTCCCGAAGATGCCGGAATCCGGACGATCGGATCTAACCTTGTAGACATTCTCGGTGACCCTGTGCACCTCTTCCGAGCGCGACATGACGGTGCCAGGGACTCCAGGAAACACCATAGACTGGTCAGGACGCAGGGCTCAACGGAGAGCGCGGGAGAGCGACGGCCACCACCACAGCTAAGATCCGTGTACGTTGCAGGCAAGGCGACCGGGAGAGGCGCGACGCTTTATATCGCCTCTCAGGGCCGGGCGCATCCCACGCCAGCCGCCTCCGCCTCCACCCGCCCCCAGTTCCGCCTGCTCCCCGTTGCTCTGCCCTGGCGGTTGCCTCAAGGAGCGCAGCCTGGGAAAGGCGGGGAATAGGAAAGGAAGGAAAGGAGGCGAACCGGAGTCAGAGAGGAGGCTGGCGCGGGCGGGAGGGCGGGAGTCATGCAAGACATACGCGCGCACCGCGGCGCGCCGCCTACCCCCACCGGCCGCCCACAGCCCAGGCAGACCCCGGGAGCTTCGGTACAGTTCGCGCGCGCCGCCTCACCCTGAGAAGTCCGGGGAAGACTGCGGCGCTCACGCCCGCCCACCCAGGGGCGAGAAAGTGAGAAAGCATGTCCCGTCACTGGCGCGCACACGCACTCTCAAGTACATCTCTGTAACGGAGAGTAAAACAGGCTCCCTTCCTCATACATAATGTATACTCAGACGACTTCTGCGAAATGTTCACGTTTAAAAATCTGTGATTGCAGCCTTTTCGCGCAATCCCGGATTAGAGACAGTCATCGTTTTCAGTCACCCCCGTTTGGCTTCTAGGTATTTGCTACCAACTGATCTGATCCGGCGTGGATGTATACGTGGAACCCCACCATCCCGCTGAATGTAACAACAGCCTTGTTGAATAGGGCCATTGCTTCACCTGGTCCAGCATGCTGTATCAAGGCAACTGGGTGCATCTCTGGAGGACACAAATATATTTTCACCCTTGGCCCAAGTGTTGGGAGGCTACGGGGGGGGGGGGGGGTCTGGATGGGGAGGAACAGACTCAGGATCAAACCTAGGAAAACTGAGTGGTTGTGGTTATTTGGACCATCTAGTCCATGGAGATTGTCCATCTGCTTGGAACTGATGTTCAATTTAGGGGATTTATTTATCAAATTTGTCACTGCCCATCTTGTGAAATGACTTGTTTTGCTGGACTTGGGGCTCGTACTGGAGAAGCAGGGTGTAGCTGTGGCCAGGAAGGCCTTTGCACGAAAGTCTCCTCGTGCACCAGTTGCACTCATTCTTGGATTGGGAGGCCTACTGCAATAAACTACATGGGGCTACCCCTCAGAAGATGGAACTGGTCCAGAATGCAATGGCACAGGAAGTTATGGACATGCCATAACATGCCCATGTAATACCTCTGCTTCATGAGCTGCCCTGGTTACCAGTTGGCTCCCAGATACAATCCAAGATACTAATGATCAGCGGTAAAACTCTTCACAGCGAAGAGCTTGGCTATCGGAGGGACTGTCTGTCTCCTGTAGTTTCAGCCTGGCCTTACCATCAGATAGCGTTGGCATGCTCTGGGGCCCATGCATTAAACAGTTTCGTCTGATGGAGTCCAGGAAGCGGGCCTCTGGAACACCATCCCCCCCAGAGATCCATATGGCCCCTATCCTACCTCTTCCACCAGGCGTTGGGCTTGGTTGTATGGCAAGCCTCTTAATGGGAATGTTTTATGTTTTATTGCCCCTTCCAGACATTTAGCATTCTTTTTATCTGTTATATTGTTTTTAATTGTTTTTAGTACTGTAGGCCACCCAGAGTCATTATGGAATTGGATGACCTTACAAATTTGGTAAATAAATAAATTATCCCCTTCCGTTATCACTTCCCAGCATCCAGAATTACGGCAGGCTATGATTCAGAAGGTAATAAACAGCCATCAGTATTAGTAGTCACTGATTATCTAATCTTGTGAACCTGACCAATCCCATCTAAACTGGTTGCCATTACTACAACTGCTGGCAGTGAATTCCAGAATCTAACTATGCACTGTGTAACAAAGTAGTTTGCTGGTCCTATATTTCTTTGCCTCTAATTCAGTAGGTGACTTTGAATTATTATATTGTGAGAGAGGTAGAAAAACTCACAACATCCTCTGCATGCTTGTCTCCTCTCACCCTGCATGCTTATCTCCTTCATTCAAGGCTAAACAGTCCTGGCTGGTGGTTCCTATAGTCCTTTCTTGTAAGGAAGTTGCTTTACTTTGATAATCAGTTTGGTTGCCTTTTTTTGCAACTTTTCTAGTTTTATAATATTCTTTTAGTCTGCTAATTAGAACTGCCTACAATGCTTCAATACTTCAAGTGTGTTCTTAACACATAAAGGTATTAGAGCATTGTTACATTCAAAGTTCTATTCTCAACTCCATTTCTAACAATTTCAAACCTAGAATTGTGTGTTTTGAGTGTGTATGTGTGTGTGTTGACATTTTCATTGAACTGTCTACTGTGAGTCAAAGATCCCTTCCCTGGCCAATCACTGCCAGCTCAAGTCTCATTAATGAAATGTGGATATTTTATGCTAACATATGTCACTGTATACTTGTTTACAGTGAACTGCACTTGCCATTTTGAAGTTAATTCATCACATTTAGCAAGATTCTTCTCTTAACAATCCGTTTTTCATTTTACCACCTTAAGCAGTTTGGTTTCATCAGCAAAGCAGCCTTATTGCTCAACTGCAGATAATTTATAGGCAAATTAAAAAGATTAGTCCCAACACTGGAGGACCTCATTTTACACACCTTACCAGTATGAGAATTGTCCATTTATTCCTACTCTGCTTTCCTGTTTTTTAACCAGTTGCCAATTTCCTCTGGAGCCCTTGGTGAGGGACTTTGTCAAAGGAGTTCTGAAAGTCTAAGTAGAAAATATCCATTGGGTCATTCTTGTCTATATGCTTGTTGATTCTCTCAAATCTAGAAGTGGAAGCTATGTTGGTTTCTTTTCAATAAGACTCCTTCTAGTTACAGTATATGATCTATTTTATCTACAGTATATGATTATTTAATAATACTATCAGCCATTTTCTGCAAAGCAGATGTTTAAGATGTTAAGTTTCTTACATTGCTCCTCAATCCCTTTTAAAAAATTGTGGTCACAATGGTTGTTTTCCATTTCTCAGGAACAGATGCCAGTGTTGAAGAAAAGATTCACATTTTAGCAGAAAAATCAGCAATTTTATATTTAAGTTCTTCAAGAACTCTCGGGTGGATGCCATCTGGACTTAGGGATCTATTTATTTTTAGTTTGTTAATTTGGCTTATAATTTCATCACTCATTACCTCTATTTATCTCAGTTTGTCCTGTCTTTCTCCTGAAAAAGCCAGCTCAGGCATAGGTATCTATAGCATATCCTTAGCAGTGAAGAGAGAAGTAAAGTGGCCCCATCCTTGGCAGTTTTCCAGAAGCCCTCAAAACACGACAACAGGCTTGGGGATCTCAAGGAAATGGAGAATTGCTGAGATGGCTACATTGTTTGTAACACCGAAGATGCTGTCTTTTAGTCTTTTTTTAAATCGTACGTATGCTTTTTTAAATTGTGGAATGTTTTGATATTTGTTTTTTATGGTTGTTTTTTATTGTACGCTGCCCAGAGTCATGTCTCCAAGATGGGCAGCTATGTAAAAGTGAGGAATGAATGAATGAATAAAGAATTAGTTCAGTTTCACCGATATCTCCCCATCTTCCACTGACACTAACAGCCAGTCGAGTGTAGTGGTTGAGGCCCTGGACTAGAACCAGGGAGACCCAGGTTCAAGGTACCTTCACCCATGAAAATTCATAACTAGTGACTAGTGGTCAGTCAGTCACTCCCAGCCCAACCTACCTTAGAGGGCAGTTGTTGTGAGGGAAAATGAAGAAGACGATGCTCTATATGTTCCCTTGAGCTCCTGGAGGGGAACCAGGATATAAATAATACATTTTAGCAAACTAGCACATCATCCAATGACCCAGTGGTTTCCCTGGTCAATTTCCTGTCCAAATATATTTGAAGAATGTTGTTGTTTGTCTTCATGTGTTCTTTACAATGTGCTTCTCAGAGTCTCTCTCCCCATCGTTTAGAGTATTGGAAATCTGATCACTTTATTGCATCCAGAAAAAAAAATCCCCAATTTATGTGAGGGTGATCGAACTCAACAATTACCATTGCTGGCTTCTTCAGATACTTCTCGAATTTAATTTCCCTCTGTAGGTCAGCTTTAGCTTCTTGGTCAAGGGGGGAGGTGATAGGAGGTCCCTACCACGAACATTCTTTTGGGCGCTGATATGACACCCAAAGTTTCCTCCATTTGTGAATTCTTCTTTATGGGACTTTAGCCTTTTGACATAAGGGCAATTTAGCCTGCTGTACGCCCTTCCCTGTCGTTTCTCTTGAGCTTTTAAGCAGCTTTTCCATTCTACCAGGTTTCTTGCTAGGCCTATGTTTTCTACTAACAACCTGCACTCAAGTATATCATATTGCTCTGCTTCAAATATAACTAGTCCCAAGGGGGGGGGGAGAAAAGCTATCATCAATCTGGTACCCTCCAAAAATGTTGGGCCACAGCTTCCATAATCTTCAAATAGTCTGGCCAGTTGACATGCTGACCAGCAAGTATGAGTATTATTACTTCTTTGGAGAAGGCTGCGACATTGAATCATGACCCACAGTTTGAAAACAATTCCAAATATTAGTATTATGGTGTGCAAAATGAAAGAAGTGTTGTTATTACATCCAAATCTCTTAGTTAGCAGCTAATTTTACTGAGTCAAGCCACTCAGGTTGATGACTGTAGCGTGACAAATTTTCATAAATTTTTGAAAGCTAGTAATGTAATTCCAAGAAATGGAATGCAAAACTGGGATCCACCAGTTTCATCATGGGTTAAAAATAATCAATGTACCTTAACACCAATATCTTTTTCAAGCTGCAGGTTAGTTTTTCACACACACACACACATATATATACAAGAAACACCTCTCCCACTCCGCTGTAGATGTTATTTCCTCTGCTTCCTTAATAATTATTTGATAAGCTGCAAAATTGTAGACATTTAAAGTAATAGCTTCAGAGTGAGAGTTCATGATAAAATGAGCAAGCAGACTTCACATTAAGAGGTGAAGTCTTTGTAGAAACATAAATATCTCTGCCTTTAAATCAATTGTGACAAATTCATATTTTGAAAAT